GACGACCTCTTTGACCAGCTTCAGGGAGCATCTTGGTTCTCCAAGATAGATTTGCGTTCAGGGTATCATCAGATGAGGGTTAGGGAGGAGGATGTGCAGAAGACGGCGTTTCGGACGCGTTATGCCCACTATGAGTTTGTGGTGATGCCTTTCGGGCTCACCAATGCTCCTGCCGCGTTCATGGACCTCATGAACCGCGTGTGCAGATCGATGTTAGACCGGTCTGTGATAGTGTTTATTGATGATATCTTGGTTTACTCCAAGACGCAGGAGGAGCATGAGGAGCATCTGCGAGGGGTTCTAGAGACCTTGAGGAGGGAGAACTTGTACGCCAAGTTCTCCAAGTGTGATTTCTGGTTGCGCGAGGTGCAGTTTTTGGGCACCTTGTCAACCAGAACGGGATTTCGGTAGATCCGGCCAAGGTAGAGGCCGTGATGAGATGGGAGGTTCCGAAGTCTCCATCTGAGATTCGGAGTTTCCTGGGATTAGCTGGCTACTATCGGAGATTCATCCAGGATTTCTCCAAGATAGCATTACCCCTGACCAGGCTAACGAGGAAGGCTGTGGTCTTTCGTTGGGGGCCTGAGCAGCAGGCAGCGTTCGAGACACTGAGGCAGAGATTGTGCGAGGCGCCAATCTTAGCCCTGCCAGAGGGCATGGAGGATTTTGTTGTGTACTGCGATGCGTCCATCTCAGGTTTGGGCGCAGTATTGATGCAGAGAGGGCACGTCATCGCCTACGCGTCGAGGCAGCTGAAGCCTCACGAGGCGAACTACCCGACGCATGATTTGGAGTTGGGGGCTGTTGTGTTCGCCCTCAAGATATGGCGACATTACCTCTATGGGGTTCGATGTACGATTTACACGGACCACAAGAGCTTGAGGTACCTCATGGATCAGCCGAATCTGAACATGAGGCAGCGTCGGTGGTTGGACGTGGTAAAGGATTACGACTGCGAGATCCTTTACCATCCGGGAAAGGCCAACGTGGTGGCCGATGCGCTTAGCCGCAAGGCGGCGGCACCGATCAGGGATATCTGTCTGAGGATGACAGTGGTGACTCCGCTTTTGGAGCGGATCCGGGAGGCTCAGCAGGAGGCTATGAAGGAGGAACATCGGAAGAGCGAGCGGATTGTGGGACAGGTTTCCTCCTTCGACTATGATAGTCGAGGGTTATTGACACTACACCGTAGGGTGTGGGTACCGTATCACGGGGGTGTGCGTCAGGTTCTGATGGAGGAGGCGCACAAATCCCGATTCTCCATTCATCCCGGGGCAACGAAGATGTATAGAGAACTTCGTCTAGACATTGGTGGCCCTGCATGAAGCGGGATGTAGCATGGTATGTTGAGCGGTGCTTGACCTGCAGGAAGGTCAAGGCCGAGCACCAGAGGCCACACGGCAAGATGCAGCCGTTGGATATCCCGCTGTGGAAATGGGAAGACATCACGATGGATTTTATCACCAAGCTTCCCAGGACCGCACGGGGAGTGGATTCTATATGGGTCATCGTGGATCGGTTGACCAAGAGCGCTCACTTCATACCGATCCAGGAGAGTATCTCGGCAGAGAAGTTGGCCAAAATCTACATCCGAGAGGTGGTGGCGCGGCACGGAGTGCCAGTCTCCGTGATTTCAGACAGAGATGTACGGTTTACTTCCAGGTTTTGGAAGAAGTTCCATGACGAGCTGGGTACTCGTCTACATTTTAGCACCGCTTTTCACCCGCAGACCGATGGTCAGAGTGAGCGGACCATCCAGACTGGGGATAGGTATGTTGCGGGCGTGCGTACTAGACTTCGGTGGTAGCTGGGATACCTATCTTCCTCTAGCTGAGTTTTCGTACAACAACAGCTACCACGTGGAGTATCGACCGACCTCCCTTCGAGATGTTGTACGGGAGGAGGTGCAGGACCCCGATATGCTGGGGTGAGGTAGGCCAGAGGGTCATGGGGAGCACCGAAGTGGTGCTCAAGACGACCGAGAGGATCCAGCAGGTTCGGAGCAGGCTTCAGACTGCACAGAGTCGGCGGCAGAAAAGTTATGCTGACAAGCGCCGATCAGACCTGGAGTTCCAGGTCGGGGATATGGTCCTCCTGAAGGTGTCACCATGGAAGGGTGTCATCCGATTCAGGAAACGGGGCAAATTGGGCCCCAGGTACATTGGACCTTCAGGGTTCTGGCCCGGGTGGGCAAGGTGGCATATAGGCTGGATCTGCCAGCCGAGCTCAGTCAGATCCACAACACCTTCCATGTCTCCCAGCTGCGGAAGTGCCTAGTGGATGATCAGCGGTGGTGGTGCCGTTAGAGGATATCCAGGTTGACGACAGCCTGAATTACATTGAGCGCCCAGTCGCAATCCTCGACCGGAAGTCGAAGGATCTGAGGAACAAGAGGGTGGAATTAGTGAAGGTGCAATGGCAGCACCGAAAGGGTTCAGAGTGGACTTGGGAGCCGGTGGAAGAAATGATGATGGAGCATTACCCCGAGCTGTTTCAGGACCGAGCAGCAGACTTCGAGACGAAGTCTAAATAAGTGGGGGAGATTTGTAGCACCTGGTTCCTGGTATGTAAATTTATCTAAGTATTTTGCATTTTTAGCCTGGACTCGGCGAGTTGTAGGCCCGACTCGCCGAGTAGAGCGGGAGGGACATGGAACACGTTTAAGTTGGCGACTCGGCGAGTCCATATTCTGGACTCGGCGAGTCCCCGCTGTCTGGTGAAACCCTAATTCCAAGGGTTTGCACCCTATTTAAACCAACCTTATGCGCCCCAAGCTCGCCCCCATTCACCCTCAGAGCCCCCTATATCGTTCTAACATCGTTCCTTGTGAAATTGAAGTGCTTGGTGTGATTTCTTGAAGACTTTGAGAGAGAAGGAGAGTAGATCAAGAGGAGAGGAAGGAGGCCAGGCATCTTGGTGTTATTTCAGAGATTTCTTGAGGTATAACTCAGTTTCCCTCTGTTCTCATGCTTATAGTCCCTTAGAGCTCCATTAAAGTCCTTCTTGAGCCATTTCCAAGCTTGGGTATGAACTAGGGTCTGTGATAAGCGATCAACCTTTAGATCTAGGCATGATTGAGCTCTAGGAGCTCGGATCCACTGCCTTTATGAAGCCATATTGCATGAAAGCCCTAGATCTACTCTTTTAGTGCATTTTGAGCCCTAAACCTTCATTGGTGTTTATTTACACGTAAAGTTGGAAACTTTACGTGTTAATCAAGCCCTAGGAACCTAGATCTACGTATGGAATGAGCTGGATCCAAGCAAAATCGAGTATATATAGTGGCATGTGGCCGACTCGCGAGTCGTTCATCGGACTCGGCGAGTCGAGTTGCGAGTCCTCGAGTTTTCCCTTTTTCGTGTTGCTGAGTGGAGTCGTGAGTCATGGGGGGGGGTGACTCACTGAGTCGGAAGCCAGACTCACTCATGGAGGAACTCGGCGAGTCAATGCCCTGAGTCGGCGAGCCTCAAGAACAGACTCGGCGAGTTGTTCATACAACTCGGCGAGTAGGATGAAGGACTAGTGGTCATCGGTTTAGTTTAGAAGGGAACTCGTCGAGTCAATGCCTAACTCGACGAGTAGAGACGAGATTATGGTCAATCGAGTGGATAGGGACTCGGCGAGTTGGCAAGCCAACTCGGCGAGTCGGGTCAACTGGAAGTTGACTTTGATTTTGACTCTTGGTTAGTTAGGGGTAAATGGTCATTTTACCCTGAGGGCGGTTAGCAGTATTTGACTGAGTGTTTTGTGGGAATTATAGCCGGAGGATTTCCGGAGCAGCAGCAGCAGAAGTCAGTCGTCAGTTTCCCACGCAGATTAGCAGCCACTTTGAGGTGAGTTACCTTCCAGTAGCGGTGGGTCTACGGCCCAATGTCGGCCCACCAGTAGGAGTTGCATGATAGATGATTGTCTCTGTGATATTCATCTAGGGTTGTTACTACCTGTGATATGTTATGTGCTAAAATGACATGATGCTATGTACTAGTGACTGTTGGGGGAGATAGTCCCCAGATTACCGGCCAATAGGGTCGAAGGGGCGGTCGTTGCCTAGCCATGCTAGATAGATTATGTGATAAATGTGTTTATGTGGTAGTAGTAGGGGGTGAAATAGTCCCCAGTACCCGGTCGAGAGGACCGAAGGGGAGACCAGCACCCAGATATGCTAGTCAGTACCCGGTCGAGAGGACCGAAGGGGAGGCCAGCTCCCAGATATGCTAGACATACCCGGTCGAGAGGGCCGAAGGGGAGACCAGCACCCAAATATGCTAGTCAGAACCCGGTCGAGAGGACCGAAGGGGGGGCCAGCTCCCAGATATGCTAGACAATATCCGGTCGGGAGGACCGAAGGGGTAGGTCGGGCACCCAAATATGCCGGACAATATATGTATGTTATGTAACTGTATGGTAGGTGGTATGATGGGGGAACTCACTAAGCTTTGTGCTTACAGTTTTATGTTTTGTTTTCAGGTACCTCTTCGTCGAAGGGGAAAGAGCTGGCGCGGTAGCGGCACATCATACACATACATTGATTTCCGCATCATGAGTTATTCTGGGATTTGTACTCTGACATTATTATGTTTTTTATAAAATGGTTTCCGGACACGCGACATTTTTATGAAATGATATGATCAGTGAATGTTTTATTTTTAATGTTTGCTAAGTATATGTTTCAAAAATGAAATTTTTTTGGCTCGTATTTTGGGATGTTACACATCAAAATTACATTATAATTTGACCGGATTTGAAACTTATAACAGTAGTACTCTCGCATAGATTACAATATCCCGCCCTCTTTTTGTATTAGAGTCTACACAATGTTGATGTCGTGAATAAAAA